TTATTTATCTAATTAATAGTTCACTTATTAAAACATGCAGTAAAATATATATTTTTTGGGAAATGTAAGAAATAAATTTTATTTTTTGAGACGTAACGGCTATAAGGGCATTTAGGTCAAACGACAAATCAAACTAATTTAAGAGTGCGACTATGGCAGAGAGGACGACCGAACGGACTCTTATTTTCTGTTTGAAGCGCCGAAAGGCCACTGAAGGTTTTAGGCGGAAGGCTAGTAATCAAAGAAGCGACTCGGTCTCTCTGCGCTCAAAGCACGCCGAAAACTGGCTTCTGTGAGGAATCGAAGGTTGGTGGGACTGCTGTGAGGAATCGAAGGTTAGTGGGGCCTAGGGTTAGGGTTTTCTCCTAAACTCTCCGTCCTCCTTTTACTTAATTGTTTTTGTTGTTTTTCTGATCGTCGGCTCCTGCAAACATCCCAGGTTAACTTATTATTTTTTTTTTCAATTTCTGTGATTTCTCTTCACTTCTTCCCGATTTGATTTTGTTCGCTGAAGCCGCTCGCTGCAGACTACAGTCTCCCGTGCTCCCCACTCTCATCAAGTTATAATTTTTTTCCCCTTTTAAGCCTAAATTCCTACTTCAACTTTTTATGGGGTTTGCAATTCCTTTATCTCTCTCTCTCTCTCTCTCTTTTCTCCCATGGATGCATACTCTTCTTTTACATTCCTCATTTTCTTCTTAGTTGTTGTCGTTTTTCTCCCTGGCAGAAATTACTGCATCACCGACACCACTGATTCTCCGATCGGCTTCTTCTCATGTCGGATAGTAGGTTGCTCTTCCGCCTTTCCATTTCTTTTCCTGTAAGGTGCTCTTCTCCTCTCTGCAGTGTTCTTCTCCTCTACGGTGAAATATATTGTTTGTCCAAATTTAAAAAATGTCTGACAAAATAGTTATATTTTGGTGTGTAAATTTGTTGGATTCTATTTTTAGTTTTGCTAGCTTTATTTGGAATTAATCTGAAGAGATGTTTCCTTATAGATATATAAGCTGCAGTATGAAGCACAATGCTCCTAGAATAATTAAGTTGTTCTCCCCACAACAAATTGGCGATCAACTTTATAAATAACTCCAACCATTTCAAACAAATCCTTAATGTTCATTTAATTCAATCTAA